ACGAAAATTGCAAAATGGTAGAGGACTTTTCGACTTAGTCTAGTCCACTCTATCCCACAATAAGCGTTGATGCGGGTATTACATAACACCCTGTATATCGTGTGAATAAATTAATCTAATCTAACACAAAATAAGCTATAGATTTGTGACCCTTTTTAACTGTAAAAATTATAATAATTTCTTAGTACGGTTAGTTATTAATAATTCGTGTTCGCATGTATAAAGATTGCAGCTGGGGTTTTTGCAATTGCAATTTAATCTGTTGCAGGGCGCACAAAACGCATTATTGCAGCACGAGGCACGTGGTGAAGGATACGTTGCCGACGCCGACGGCGACGCCGGCGTCCTCGGTGAAGGCGTCGCCGCCGACCAGTTCGAGTCCTGGTGACTCGCCACCCCCGCAGCCGTGCCTCGCGCTGCCCACCAACCCCATTCTCATCGTGCCGTATTCGTTGTTCCGCGGCGCGAGCGTCCTTGCCGCGCCGGCACTTCCGGCCCCCGACACAGCATGCTTCCTTTTGCCAAACGGTACCAATAATTTTTCAACCCTTTCTTCAATTAGACATAGATATTAGGTGTTAATAAATGACATTCTCTGGAGCACGATGTTACGTTCTCAGGTTCCCTTCAGCCAATGACGAGGGGCCTCGCTTCCACGGCGCAGAACGCCGTGGCGGAGCCGCCGGCCGTCCTGAGGGCAGCGAACAAGCCCTCAACGCCGGTGGTTGTAGCAGCGTCCACGTCGCCGTCCGCCTCGGCGCCCCTCGATCTCAGCATACGCAGGTCGCCGGTGCACCAGGACGAGAAGGAGAACAGGATGTCGCCGGCGCCGTCATCTCTGCCGCCGCCTCCCGGCAGTCCCAGATCCAGAGGCAGCGGCAGTCCCAGAACGAGGTCCATCGGTCCGGTCCAGAATGCCGCCGTAGCGCCACCCGCGCCCACGGAACTCGCCCTGAGACTCGCTGAACTGCCACCGCCTCCTGTTCCCGGGGTGCTCGTCAAGCAAGGCGTCTCCAGGTGAGCAACCGGCGTTTCCTCTACGGAACTCAATTGAGTGAATCTCTTGTTCTTCTGAATTCTGAATCACCGACTTTTAAATCTCTATATGTATAAACTTTCGGTCTTTGGAAACCGTACGTCATTAGACTCTTCTCTTTGGGATTTCAAAATTTCAGTCTGGATCTTCGAAGCCCTTTCAATCTGTTCTTGAATCGCTAGATTTAAAGATCCTTCTTTGATTGTATGGAATTTTTGGAATTACGGAATCATTTGTCCTCAAGGTGCAAAGAATGCAACATCGTGTTCTGCCGACACGAGAACTTCGTCGCTCACAAGAAACACTACTGCCAGGCGAGGGAGACAACGGTGAGCAACAGTCCACCACCTCCGGGCACGCCCTCGCCGCCCCTGGTCCAGCTCATCTGCGCCGCGTGCGGCATCAAGTTCGCTTCCATAGACAATCTGGTTGCCCATCAGGCGTTCTACTGTCCCAAGAGGCCCGACCCCCAGGAGCATCATACGCGGTGTCCTAAGTGCAAGGTAAATTCTAAAGTAAACGGTGAGAAAAACTTCAAGGCGGTTTAAGGAATTAAATTTCACAAGATATCCCATGAATATTTAAACAGTTTTTGGGATCTTTAAAAGTCAGTGCGAAGAAGAATATCGAAATTTCAAAATTAGACAATCAGACACAATTGCAAGGCACGTTGAAGCCTAAGGATGTCGGAAGCAGAGATGTCGACTTTTTTTAAACAGGCCTCGAGAATATCATTTCATCTTTGTTAGGACTATTAGTCGTCGGTTCTTTGAAGGGTTTAATGAGATACAATGGCTTGTCGCAGGCGATGATAGAACCAGGCAGCAGTCACACCTGCACCAGCGGTACGACCGGCGGCTGGCGATGCCCGGTCTGCGGTGCCGTCAGTCCCACGGCCGGCGCCGCCCAGCGTCACATGGACGCCCATCAGGGCGTCAAGGCCTTCCGGTGCACGATCTGTCGTTACAAGGGCAACACTCTGCGCGGCATGAGGACTCACATTAGGATGCACTTCGACAAGCGCGGCACTGATCTACAGGTGGCCCTCTCTTTTCTCGCTTCTCAGCCTTATGTTGTATTCCCTCGTTTCCATCAATAACTCTTTCTAAGTTGAAGCGCAAACTGTACTTTAATGAATTTTGCGTTCGTGTAAAATTTTTGAATCGCTGAACACAAGTATATCTTGGATAGAAATAAATCAGAATTGAGTCTTTCTTCCTTTTAGGAAATTTGAGGACCTTCCCTTCAACAGTGAGGTTCTTATGAAACCAGATTCTTATTTGTTTGTCCCAGGAAGAGAATTATATAACGTGCGTGCTGGACGACGAGGCAACGCTGTCGACGCCGGAACCAGTGGCAACCACGACACCGGAGGAGATCCCCGCTGAGATCCAGGTGAACGGCAAGACGGAGATAAGGAAGAGCCCGCAGCCGCCACCGCCGCCGCCGCCGCCCCCGCCGCCGCCGCCACCGCCGGTAGACGCCGCCAAAGTGAAGCAGGAACGCGAGGACACGCCGCCGCCGGACGAGAGTCTGGATCCCACCAAGAGCGGGCCGCGCTACTGCCGCTCCTGCGACATCAGGTTCAATTACCTAAGCACCTTCATCGCCCACAAGAAGTTCTACTGCTCGAGTCACGCCGGCGAGGCGAGCAATAACAATAACAATAATAACAACAATAACAACAACAACGCCAGCGGCCATCCGACGACGCCGCCGACCGGCAGAACCGAGGCGTCGGTGCTTTAAATCTCCGAAGTTCTGCGGACATGACCTCTCCGCCGTTCGTCCTCTCCTTCTCGGAGGATCTCCTAGTGTTTTCTTTAAACAAATACGCTTTGAAATAATCGGAAGCGATTCGATAATAATATCTGAGAGTTTTCTATTCGTACGTTCCTTCGAAAATTGAGTTGACCAAATAAAGAAGTAGAGACACTGCATTTTTAATAATTATCGCAAAATTCTTTCGAGTACAGATTTTTGTTTTCCCAAAGACTTTTATTAGTTATGTAGAATGCATTCTCGTTACTTGGTCAAGTTAATTTAATATTCTGGGAATACTTATAGTCCTTTTCTTAGTGAAATTATATGAATAGCCCTGAGGCTTCACTTTTGCGAATGTCGCATTTTGTTAGGGAGGCTCGCGGAAGAGAAAGAGAAGGACGAGACGTGTTCGAGACGCGATGACCGACTCTAAAAACGGGGACTGTTTATTGTTGCCAGTTTATACATAATATAATAAGCGCGGACTTCTTAGTTGAATATTACGTTGTGTGATTTTTGTTGACCCAGGGAATCGTTTGTACTTATAAGCCGAAGGTATCTACATATGTGTAAATATATGATACACTGATATATATGTATACTATATATACTATATATATTTATTATAATTGTATGTCATTTCGAATTGCGCCATAAAATATTTTCAAATATTTCCAAGTGTTTTTCGAAATATAATGTATAATTATAATATATAGATATATATACATATATACACATATATATATAAAACACTGTATAATTAGGAATTTTGAATGGACGCGTGAATGGACGAGCTTGCAATAAAGAGCTGCAAACAGAGTCATGACACACAGACTTGTTATTAAATGTAATCTACATATAACGTGATAATAAAAAGACAATGTGACGGAATTAATTTAAGGAAGGAGCTTTAATTCTTTTGAGATAAATTAGTAGCGTTTATCTATTACCTAATTGTTGACGTATCCATTTTGTGTTACATTCTATTTCTCTTTTCTTTATCGTTTCTTCATTTTGTCTTTCAATTAGGAATTCGAGAATATTTTACGAATAACAAGGCAATTGTGTCTAAAAAGTAAAAAGATATATATCCAGCGTTTTATATATACATGGCTCTGATTGCAAGCGATCTTCTTGGCGATCGTTGCGTCGTTTCGACGTTTTCGAGGGACAATTTTTTAGAGTGCCAGAAAGAATCGGCGAGACGCTGCCATCGTCCTGTACATATAAAAATCGGCGAAAAAACAAAGTGGAGAAGAAAAAAAAACGACTGGGATCGACGTTAACATGATTGATCGATCCGGGCGTTGCTGTGCAATCTCATGACTCTCCAATAATCTCGTAGCGTTAATAATCGACATTACATTACGAACGAATACGATGAGTGTAAAATGTTGTACAGTAGGCGAGTAGAGTATTACGGAGACAGTAGTAAACGATCCTGATGAATGATACCAATCTCAGCTTGTGAATCTGCTAAGTTACATTGCGCAATGTATGACATTTAATATATATTATATATAAAAAAAATGGTTACGCATGTCCGTGAAAATTGCGCCCGTGTTTGCGAATATTAATGTGAATGCGTCGATAAATATCCAGGGAATTTAAAGTGCATTCAGCAGAGTACGTCATTAAAACGACAAAATTCATAGCAAGATCTAATAAAAATGTTCTCCCTTGCTATTATTTATTTATGATGTACAGCCTTTGAAGAGAAAAAGAGATAGCTGAGAGAAAAGGATAAATTTTAGCGGATAATTTAAATGGTCAAAGAATAAACTACATTTAAATAATTTTAAAAAATTTTTAATTATTTTTTAATTTAAAATTAAATTTTAATATATTAAATTTAATATATTTAAAAAATTTAATATATTAAATTTAATATTCTTAATACTTAAAATCAAATACTGTTAAATAAACTAAATTTTTGTAAATCGAATCGAGAGTTGTACAAGATCTTATTAACTTTTGAGTTGTTAAACCTCAATCGGAAAATCTATTTATTTTTAATACAACAGATAGTTTCGTAAATTTAATATTTCTATTTAAATAACGATTAAGGAAGGCTCGGGCCTGAAATTCACCGAAGATTCGTAAACTTTCGTAGAGATATTTGGGGAACTTCTAGCGGGATGTCTCGTACATATGTTGCAGCGAGCGCAATTTTGCGACAGAACGAACGACGATAATCTCCAAACGCCTCCTTCGCTTATCGGCGTTATCATTTGGATTTTTATCGGCGCACTCGGCACCCCGTGCACCCTAAATCAAAAGCATCGTACGTGCTCGCGAAGCGGAACGAGCCACCCCCTCTCGTCGCAGGGCGCGTGTGAATGTAACATAAATTAGAATTAAGGCCAGTGTTACGTGTATACGCAATGTACTACTCATATCATACGACGAGCTCGTTAATTAATTAAAAATGCAAAACATAAGACAAATACCGATCGTTGTCCGCGCGGCAAATTTCACGGCGAGAGAGAGATTTCGAAGCGTGAACTCGTAAGAAGAATCTCTTGCAAGAGACAAGTAATCTCGTCACATCGATCGGATTTATTCCTTCCTACCCCCCTCTCGTTCTCGATTATTATAGACGATTTCGAGGTAATTTTCTTCGAGCCGCGAGACACTTTTTGTTGAACGTTACGTTGTTAATCGCGAACCGAACGTGTCTATGTATGTGCGCGTGCGCGTGTGTGTGTGTATGTATGTATGTATGCGTGCGCGTGTGCCTGCGTGTATGTACGACGGAGAAATTTATAAATCCATGCAACTGGTACTTCCAACAACTTGTTATAATACGCTATAAATCTGGTGTATATCATTACATGCCATATCCACGATGACAAGTAAATTCTTTCTTGAACAACACAGGCACATCCCGTAACATCCTTCTAGAGGATCGATCGCTTAATCTTCTCCCGAAAGCGAACGCGCGCGGATTTTTTTTCACCAACTAGTCGCAATCGCCCACGTAGTCTTTTCATAACTTTTACAACTGCGTTCATAATGATTTACTCTACTCAGCCGTTTGGTCTGTAAAACCACGAGATTCGATTCAATTTCGACTTGAAACGACGAAAGGTATTTTCTTCGTTTGACTTTGCGTGATCGATCCCCTCGACTCTAGGTTTACTTATTTTGCCATTCTTATTTTGATAGACGAATTTTACATGCGAGAAGTCTGTAATAAATAAATATATATATATATACATAGATATACAAATAAAACTTTATGCCATTTACAATTCATTTTTCTGCAAAAAGAAACGCGAAGATTTAAAAAACTTAAATATATACTAAAGAAATGCGTTTATTACAAAGTACATATTCAATGTGTTTAATGTACACACGAATTATGAATTATTTGGAAATATGCGAGCAATTTTAGTTTTTGTTAAATATCAAGTTCCTTTTCCATTCCGTATTTCAGGAATATTATTATATGGGCGGTATTCATAGTTCAATCTTGAAAATGCAATCTCAAGATTGTACAGTTTCATAAGCTGGATGAAATAAGATTTACCCATAAACCACAGACTTAAGACGAGCACGAATGTAAGATCGGACTCTGAATGTTGACCTAAGGTGATGACACGTTTTTATAATTCATTGACAATATATTGTTAATATATTTTTATGTTTTTTCCATTTCTTCATTATCTGACGTTTCTTCACTATCTGTTAATTTTGCTTCGCTATTCGACGAGGCTCCTTCGTGTAAAAGGTCATCTTTACCGCACGACGAATCACTGTCGGAACTACTCCTCATTTCCAGTTTGTACAAGGATCTATATTTGTCTTTATCTGTTTTGGAGTCGTACAGATTGTCGTCGTCGTCATAGACGTCGAAATAATCGTCAGAATCCTCGTGGTTAGACACACGGTCGGGATCCGTATCGGGATAATCGTTTTTCCAATGTGATTCTGCATTGGAATCTGAGGAGTCATCGTCATCGTCCTCAACATACACGTTTCGACCGTCTGCCCGCACCAATATGTTTTCACTATCTAACCACGAGGTATCACCGGTTTGTTGTACATAATATAAATCATATACAAAATCAGCGAGGTCCTGAAATGCCATACATATTTTACTTCGAACATTTATTTTATTTTAATTTATAATTTAAGAGAGAGAGAAGGGGTTATTATCTATTTCTATTTTCTTCTCCATTTAACGGACTATTTTAATTTTGAACAGTCCATCTTGGTCACAATTGTTTCATTATCAACACATGCAGCTAATTAATTTCTTTATTACGTATATGCCTTGCACATGTCGGCGAGCAAATATTTTCATGCAAAAAAATTTCGAGCGACTTGCCTCTGCTGAAGCCTGATTTTCTGCCAGCCGGGAAACACTCCAGCTATCCTCCACATCTATAAGTGTCATCCACTTATCCTCAAGCTCTTCCTGATTCGAAGAGTTCACACAATGCTGGCAATCGGTAACCTTATACCTTTCCGTCACTGAGTCCACGTCTATCCATTTGGGTACCTTACCCGAAATATTTGCGGGATTATCATTGTCGGCAATCCTCTTGACGCCGCTTTTGTGACTTTCTGTGCTTATTTTCGGTAGAATCCTAGCCATGTGCTTGGTGACATCCTCAGTCTGGAAAAGAATATTCGACATGCATCTCTTATAGTTCCTCATTCTTACGATTTAAGTTTATAATTCATAATCGGAGCACCAACAACCGGCGCGATTTATTTTATTCTCTTCAATTTTCTATCTATTAAACGTCCAGCCATTTGTTTATCTTCTACCTGCCTACAAGTAGAAAACAATTAACAGATAACTATCCTAACCTAAAAGATTATTTATCCCTTCGCACTGGAAACTTCTCACGTCTGCAGGAAAAAAACCTGCGGCCATCAACGATCGCAGTTGATCGTATTGACGGGATACAAGAACAATATTGAGATTCTCACCGGATCTGCGAGCGTGCCGGCAAACTGTGCGACGGTCTGCACAGTTGGAGTGTCCGACGCCACCTCGGTTTTCGGGCGCTTGCATGCGATCACCAGCGTGTCCAGCGGAGCGTTGGTGTTTTTGCGCTTTACGCGTAAAATTGCAGCCATTTTTCACGCGAAATATAATATCGGGCCACAGTGATCGACGCGTATCTGCCACGAGCTGCTTAGGTGACGTAGAACCAGAGAGAAACCTGTGACTCCTGTGAGCGGCCACGCCGGCGTTTTACTGGATTATGGATACCGTTTTCCCTCGGCCGATTCCAGCGCCCTCCGTCCATTTTCATTTTTGCAACTACTTCGCTACGCCCATTTTCAAGCACTGCCGATAAAGTCTCCACTTGGTGCGCGTCCGCGCTACGCCCATTTTTCAAGCGGGTATAAATGTGCACTGCCTAATTTTGGTTGTGTTCCGTGCTGCATGCATGTTAAATCACGGTAACACGAGAGTGTAATTATTTTAATTTTTCGTAACGGGAGCGAGCGAGAATCCCGATCCTCGAGCCTTCTTCGCTTGCTGTTATTCTCGTCTCTACTCGCTCCTATTACTGTCTCGTTCGCTCTTATAACGACTGTGCTTTAAAATATACCAACATGCTTAGAAGATTATCTATCAAATTATCACGTTTAACATTTTTAATATACATCAATTATATCAGCAGCAATTGTGTGAAAACCAATTATACATATAACACAAATTTCAAAAAATTTAAAGGACTCAGAGCCGTGACAGGGTGGCAGTGTCTAAATATTCTATTCTAAGTTTATTGCGAAAAAATATCACCCTGGCCGAGGTGATATTTTTTCGCAATAAACTTAGAATAGAATATTTAGACACTGCCACCCTGTCACGGCTCTGAGTCCTTTAAATTCTTTGAAATTTGTGTTTAAAACATACGAGCCATACTAATTTATCCAATTATATAATTTATAAAAATTATTTTCGACTAATTGTGTTATTTAGTGGGACTGGTAATTTTCTTCGAAAGGTTTCGACATTCGTACTTCGAAACTTCGAATTACTTCGCGAAGCTTCGAAAAATTTATTTGTGTGAGTGGCGAATTTATTCGAAGAATACTAAAAATATTGCAAATAAAGAGTATTAACGACGAAAGAATGTGACTCACCAGTAGTTGATTAACCGAGCGCGGATTCCAAGAAATGACGTAGCGCCGTAAACACCTCGGTGAAAAACAATGTATTGGAATGCGCGCTCGTTTTTCGGCCGAGGTGTTTACGGCGCGGTACGCAGGATCATTCACGCGGCGACAGTCGAACTGATCGGTCGTGCCCGCGTCGCTTCGCATATCGTATTATTATTTCTTGATACGCGTTCGCGACAAGTGCGGGATGAAACCGCGATCGCTCTCTGCGAATAATCAGTAATTGATATTATCGTGCGATCGCTGAATTCCCGCGATTTGCCATCGATGCTCGATGTAATCGAACAGTTCGTACTTATGTTAGTGGCAATCGGACACCGTGAAAACCGAAGAAGGTTTTCAGTGACAAGTCACTTTACAAACGGAAGTGTAAATTCACGAGTGAAGTGGCATTTGGATACAGCGACAGTGACAAGTCACTTTAAAAACGAAAGTGTAAATTCGCGAATGAAGTGACATTTGGATACAGTGACAGTGAAAAGAGACTTTACAAACGGAAGCGTAAATTCGCGAGTGTGTCGGAGGACAGCTGAGACAACGACACTTGAGAGGAGGACACCTGAGTGGAGGAGGAGGCATCAGGCGTCATTGCAGAATCAACGCAGATACAACTCCGCCGCTGCGCATCGTGTCGGTGAGTGACAAATATTTTATTAAAGTAACGGAACCTACATTTGTAGATTGTAGATTGTAGATTGACACATCTCGTAGATCCGTTACGTTAAAGTGGATAGGTTACAAATAATTTCACGTTTTATTTAATAATATATTTAACTCATCGAAGAGAAGTGATTTCATAGAGCTCTACAAATCAGGGTATGTCGAGCACACTTTTCCATGTTGAAAATCGTTGAATTACATCACAGAACTTAAACGAAATATGGCGAATATTAATGATGTATTCGCCGAGATAATCTTTTGTAGCCTATCCATTTTCATTAACGAATTGATGTATTGTATAAAGTAAAATAATATGACGTGAGATTCTAATATGTTTTGTCCAGAACACTGAAATTTTAACTTATTTTTATATATTATTTGAGGTTATTAATTAATGATAATATGCAATTATAATATCGGTTGGAATCGTGAAAGAAGTTTCGTTTCTCTGGATCTCACATCATTTATTATTTGTATGTGTGTATGTACATGTACGTGATATAAGGTAAACGGCTATAACTTCGTCAGGTGCGTAATTTCGTCAGGTTTTCTTAAAATTAAATATATTAAGCAATCTCGCGCATATCGACTTTATTTTTCGATTTGAAACGATTTGAACACTTTTCATCGCCTCAATACGAAA